GAATATTGTAATGTACATATTACAACAATTCCTCATTTAGCAACCAATTCATTTAATGACCTAGTCACAAGAACAGAATTCAGTTGCTAAATGAGGAGTGTTTGTACAAAAATATTCAACATCCAACAAAGTAAAATTGACAATGTTTGGCATCCAACAAAAAGAACCTATCTCTGGGGCCAGGGATTTAGCTCAGTCATTCTGTCTCCTGCCTCACAAGCGCAAGGTCCTGAGCTTGATGCCTGGTACCAAAAAAAAAAAAAAAAGAACCTATCTGGACATAGTGGCACCTGCCTGTAATCCCAGCACTTGGGGGTGAGGCAGGAGGATCTCCATGAGTTCAAAAAAAGGAACAAGACATTCAAAGAAGCAAAATATAGTCAAGAATGAGGAGAAGAATATGTTAGTCCAAATTGGCTTAAAAATTCTAGAGATGATAGAATTTGTGTACAACACCATATTCATTATTTATTAATTAATAATTAATTAATTAGTTTGGGGGGTTTTTGGTACCAGGGATCAAACTCAAGACGTTGCAGTTGCAAGGCAGGCATGGTGCTGCTGAGCTAAATCCCCAACCCCAGTTTGGGTCTTTTTGAGGCAGAGTTTTGCTATGTAGTTCAGGCTGGCCTTGAACTCACTATGTAATCCAGGCTGGCCTTGAACTCGTGGCAACCCTCCGGCCTAAGCTTTCCAAGGGCTGGGATTAGTGTCGTGTGCCACCACACCTGGTTTACAACAGATTTTTTTAAAAAATGTGACATATTCCATATTTCAAGAAGCTAGGGAGAAGACTAAACATGACAAAGGCATGGGAGATATAAAATAGACCCAAATTGAACTGAGATGAAGATGCAATATCTGAAGTGAAAAAATATACTACAAACTATTAATAACATATTATATATTGCAGAAGAAAAAGATAACAAATTAGAAAACATAGCAAACTATCCAAAGTGAAACTTAGGTAAAAAGACTGAAAAAAAAAATGAACAGAGTATTAGTGAAGTGTAGGATAACTTCAAGGAGCCTAAAATAGGTGAAATTAGAGATTGAAATCCCCAGAACAGGGGCATAAAAATAATATTAAGGGAAATTATAGAAAAAATATTCTGAATCTAGTAACAACTATAAACCCCAAGCACAGAAGCATAAAAGCAACACCAAGGCACATTACAATCAAATTTCTGAAAGACAATAATAAAGAGAAAATCAAAAAGAAAAAAACCCCATATACCCAGAAAGATAAGAATGACAGGAAATTTCCCACTGGAAACAAAGGAAGCTAGAAGACAATGGAATGACATTTTTGATGTACTTAAAACAAAACCAGGGCCGGGGATTTAGCTCAGTGGCGCTGCACCTGTCTCCCAAGCACAAGGTCCTGAGTTCGATCCCCGGTACCTAAATAAATAAATAAATAAATGTAAAACCTCACTACCTTTAAAAAAAAAAAAGACCAGAATCTTGTCAACCTAGAATTCTACACCCAAAATGAAGCTGAAATATTTTGTATATCAGATATACAAAATAAAAGAAGTCCTCACTAGCAGACTTACTTGGCAAGAAATGTTATTGGAAGTCTTAGAGGCAGAAGGAGAATGATACATGATAGAAACCTGGGCCCACAAAAGGATAGAGGGTACCAGAAGGCCATTATTAGATAATTTAAAGGTTTTTTTCTTCTTAGCTAAATATCTTTAAAAGATAACTGTTTAAAGTGAAAATATTAACAAGGGCATTATGTGGAAGTATGACAACAGTAATACAATGGGCAAGAGGGGAGAAATAAGTCTAATGTTGTAAAATTATTATGTATGAAGTAGTTTACCACTTGAAGGTAAACAATGGTAAGTTAAAGACGTATATTATAAATTCCAAAGTGAGCACTACAATAATTCAACAAAGCAATGGTCCTCCTGGTCATAAACTATTCTGTCAGCTTGGTTATAAAATCCAAAGGGTTTTTCCCTAGATTAGTTCTGTGTGCTACAGAGCAACAATACTACTGTGGGAAAAATGTGCAGCTTGTTTGTACAAAAATAAAAAGGGTGACTGAGGCTGTGGAAACTGGAAATCCTTTGACCTAATTATGACTAGTAATAGGAGAGTTCCGTGTTTACTAAACACTTCCTTTCCCTTGGCCCCTAGAATTGCTGTCTTCATCTCTGCTTTCAAGTTTCTGGTTCTCCAAGACAGTTAACTCATTCCTACTTACCCGATTCCTGTACCTTCCATTCTGAATGAACCAAACCACTTGTCTGATTGTCTTATTGTTCTGTCAGTTCCTGAGAGAAAGATTTCAAAATCTCAGACAGTAATTGTGCATTTGTCTATAACTCCTTGACCTTCTATCAGTTTTGCTTCATATATTCTGAAGCTCTGTTACGAGGTAGACAGATGATTAGGATTATTACATCATCTTGATGAGTTGATCCCTTTGTCATTATAAAATTATCCCTAGTAATATTCTTTGTTCTAAAATCTACTTTGTCTGATATAACTTTGTCTAGTATAACTTCTTCAGTATTGTCTTGACCAGGGTTAGCTTTGCACATATTTTCCATCCTCTCATTTTTACCTGTGTTTTAAAAATAGATTTCTTATAGACAACATATAGTTGAGTCTTGCTTTTTAAAAAATAAATATAGGGCCAGGCGTTTAGCTTGGTGGTTCTGGTGCTTGCCTCGAAAGTGCAAGGTCCAGAGTTCGATCACTGGTACCAAAATAAATAAATAAATAAATAAATAAATAAAT